ATTTGTATAAGATGTTCTCTTTTTCATTGTTACTCCATCATCATTCTTTTTGTTCTTAAAATTCTTTATATAGTAGCCTAGATGAAGATGACCATTGCACCACTTGGTTCCTCACAAGCTTACTTTGTCTATCGTTATTCTAAGTCTCTTGAGATGAGAAATGTTTGTTGAAGCATTAAATGCTTGCATTAATTGCATTTCACCAAATTGTTATTTCTTATTTGATTAAGGAGGCTACTTATTAGCTTTAAGAAGATAAATGAACTTTTTTTGGCGTGTGTTAGAAAAAAGTAGCTTATGCATCAACTTTTACTAACTTTCCCTGTGATTTTAGGGATCTTTCTATCCTTGTTTCTTGTGCATAACATGACTTTATTCACTTTAATAGATTTGTGAGTTCCAATAAGTTTTCTTTGTTCAATTTGTTAAGGAACTAATTAGTCATGCATTAAATAGTCATCAACCATAATAAATGATACGCATTTAAGAATTTATGAAGTAAGATTGTATACTTTGGTTGATAACATGTTGTCTGTCTAAAGGTTTACGTCTTATATTTCGTCTTATTTATATTTTGCAATAATATTTTTCCTTTAGAAAAATGTTCTATTTTTTTTATCATTAAAACTCAAAAGTTTGAGGGATCTATGATCATCTTTTTACCTAACATGCATTATATGCACACAAATTGGTAAATTGTTATATATGTGCACATATTTTTGTGATTGGTGCCACATACATGCAAATCGTAGTTTGTGTGTATGTGAATGTGTATTGTTCATTAAGAAGGAAGCACCTAAGCAAGAAGAGCAAAGGATTGCTCATGGACTAACTTAAAAGACTCTCGGATTTTCTAAGACTAAGAAAATATTTTGGGACTTTTAGGAAGAGAATTTTCTACGCAAGATATGTTGAAACTCTCATATATTCAAAAGTGTCTAAAATGGTAGAGACTTAATTTATAGGAAAAGAAGCTAGAACAATTGGCACCAATCTCATGCCATTCTTTGACACCAAAAATTTGAATTCAAATTTCTCAGTCACTCCATGTGCTATGTAACAGCCCAAATTTTTTACTGGGTTGTGGGCCCAATTCGTTGCCTGGAACGGGCCGTTTCGAAAGTGAAACGGGCCGTTCCGGAATAAAGAATTTGCCTAAAAAAGGTAGTTGAGAACGGGCCGTTCCGGTTGGAGAACGGGCCGTTCCAGTTGAAGAACGGGCCGTTCTGGTTGGAGAACGGACCGTTCTGGTTTAGAGAACAGGCCGTTCTGAAGGTAGAACGGGCTGTTCTGCTGGGTTTTGGAACGGGCCGTTCCGATTTTGGGAACGGGCCATTCCAGTTGAGATTTTTGCTTGGTTCTGGAAAATGTTTGGAAAATTTTTTTGTACAATGTTTATCATAGAAATATGTGTTTCTATGATATTTTGTTATAATAAGTATTTAGAGAAAAATATGTGTTTTTATTATAATTTTTTATGTATTTTATTTTAATTATAATTATATTGGGAGAAATATATTTATTTTATATATTATTTATAAGTTTTAATATTTGAGAAAAGGGAAGTGTGACTATGGTTAAAGTGTTTTACTAAAGGGTTAAACATGATTTGGAAAGTTTTTAAAGGGATTAACGTCAGTTTTCCTTTTTACACTTTCTCGTATTTCTTATGTTTCTTCTCTATGCGTTAAAGAACTGCCTGTAGATCAAGAAGGAGATCATCCCGAAGATCCATATCCTTCGACTAGTGTTCACCAAGGTAAGGAGGCGAGTAATCTTGCTCTAGGCTTGAGATAATTGTTGGATAGTAAGATCGACTTCCAATTTCTTCTCTATTATATATGTTGTATGAGGGAAAAAATACAATGTGTGACTCATGTTGTAATTTTTTCTTCCATATGATTCTTCAACTCTCTTTGTAAAGTATTGAATGTATATGCATTACTAATTTAGTATATTGAACTAATCTCGTGAATCTTAGATTGCCCATGGATTCTTATGGGAACCCTGAGAATTCATTTGGTGATTGTATAAGGAGATGTTTGAGCATGTGCTTATGTGTAATTCGTTCCTTTTAGAAGTGTAACTTTACCTTTGGATGCTCTTACCAATTGGATTTGGATTGAAGGTGTTAAGGAATGGTGTAGGGAAGGTTGGAACCCTATAAACAATATAATAATTTCACATTCGAGACTACCGTATCTCACTCCAAGCAACCTTATACTCACTCTAAGCG